AGCCCAGCTGCCCATAGCGAGGGGATGCTCCCGCTGGGAGTTGTTCAGGGGCTTCAGGCCACGCTGCTGCGGGAGCTCCTTGCAGGCTCCCGCGAGCACGCGCACTCTCAGCGGCTCGGCCTCCGCCGCCGCGCGCCACTGATCGCGCGGCTGCTTCAGGTTGGCGCATAGCTCGTAGAGCAGATTTCCACATGCATTAGTCCACAACCTGTCGATTTGCCTCATGAAAACCTCGATCTGCTCCTCGCGCGACATCTCGGCCGCGGCAGCCTTCGCCAGCGTGACGGGGCCCGCGCGCGTCTGGACAGCGCCACCGACGTTGCCCCAACCCTCCGTGCCATCGCGCGACATCTCGGCCGCGGCGGCCTTCGCCAGCGTGACGGTGCCCGCGCGCGTGTGGACAGCGTCCCCGATGTTGCCCCAACAGTCCTCGAGCCCCCTGATGGCTTCAACCTTCGACTGCAGATCCTGCTCCGAAGCAGCGCGCCGCTGACTCGGCCGTCATCTCCAGATCTAGATGCTCCTGCCCCAAACTCCAGTGCTTCGCCGGGTCTGCCTTCCACGCCGCCAGCTGCTGCCCCTGACCCGCTAGCTGGTCCTGCAGCCGATGCTCGAAGTCAGCGCGGTGCGCTTGCTCGGCCGCCAATTCCTGCTCAAGAGCAGCGCGCAACGCAATCTCGGTTGTCACCTCCCGCTGCAGACTCCACCGGGGATCCGACATGGATGCCTCCTCTGCCGCCGGCTGGCCCTCCCGCGCCCGCGGCTCGGCGCCGGCGCGCGGCTTGCCTTCCTGGGCCTGCTGCCCCTCGGTCATCGCGCGCCGATTCGGCACGGCTGCTCCCTGGTCCATCGCGCGCATCTGCGCTCGCATGCCTGCTGGGCCATGACTTGCGCGTCGCCTGCCTGGTCCATGCAAGGCCACGCGTGGCCTTGCATCTGGCCTTGCCTCTGCGCGCATACGGGCCATGTTTGGCCTTGCACTCGAGATGTTCGGATTGAGCCAACATGGCTACGGAAGGCCTTTGGCCTGTGACGGGACCTTCTTGGGCCGTCTGGGGCCCTTCGAGGCCGTCTTGGGAGTCTCTTTGCCCCTTGGCGCTCTCTTGGGCCGTCCTGGAGCTCTCTTGGGCCGACTTGGGCCCCGTTTGGGCCCCTCGACGGCCAGCTAGGACCCTCGCGGAGACCGTTGGGGCCTTCTTGTGGTGGATCTTGGGGGCCACTGTGGCACCCTTCGGACTGCTAGAACTTTCAAGCACCTGAGTTTTTGCGCGGCGCTAGACCAAGAGAACGGCCTGGACAATCTTGGAGCCTTCATGGACCGTCTCCAAGTCCACTCGGACCATCTTCAAAGCATATTGGGCCGTCTTGGGACCATCCTGGACCGCTGTGGGGGCTATCCTGCCACATTCGGAAGAGGTCCGCCTCCGTGCCTGCACCCAGTGGGCGCCTTAAATGCCTGTCTGTTGTCCGAGAGGTTTTTGTTGTTGTTTCTGTTGTAAGGCCGACTCCCCACCTGCACCGCACGCGTCAACCTGAGACCGCCCACCTCGAATCTGCTCTCCGGCGCTTTTTTCTGCATCCAAACGGCCAAGATGGCTTCCAAGACGGCGTCATGGGCAGCCAAGATGACACCAAGACGGCCCAGGACGGTTCGAAAGGCTCCCAAGACGGCTTCAAGACAGCTCAAGAGGCACCCAGAACGGCCTGAGAGGGCCCCAAAAGGCCTTTTGGAGAGCCCGAGGAGGCCGAATCCATTGATTTCCCGTTTATAGATGTTGAGGCTCTCGCCTATTTTGGTTTCCGACAGCCCAAAACGGCCCAAGAGGCCTCCAAGGGGCTGCCAAGATAGCTCCAAAGCAGCCCGAGGGGCCACCAAGAGGGCCCCGAGTCGGCTCAAGAGGGCTCAAAGATCGCCCGAGGGGCTCCCAAGAGGGCCCCAAGAAAAACTACCGTGAAGCGCTCCAAGAGGGCACCAAGACGGCCCAGAGAGGCCCCCAAGGCGGCCACCAAAGGTGTCAGACGGGTCAAGAGTTCCCTAAGAAGCCCCAACAGGCTTCCAAGGGGCCCGAGGCCCCCAAGAGGATCTCAGGAGGCTCCCAGGAGGCGGCCCCCAGGGCCCCAAGAAGGCTTCCCTTCCTTGTCCTCATGTTATCCCTCTTCTCTTCCTTATCCTCTATTCCTGTTGCTTATAAATAACTCCTACCTGTCGCATCCCGATACGTGTCGGTGAGGTGGGCGGGGCGTTCCGCTTGATACCCCCTCACAACTTATGATCCTGAAGCTTCCAAGTTGCAACAGTTGCACGGATGGATGGGCAAGTCCTTTCCGAAAAGAAAGTCTCGCCTTCGCGCAGCGCACATTTTAAAGTGTTGAAGAGTTTCGCAGGTGGAGGGCAGGTCCTTTTTAAACATGTAGCTCTCGCCTCAGCCCCGCGCGCATTCAAGTTTGCAAGAGCTTCAAGGGTGGAAGGCGGCTGATGTTCAAAATGTGGGTCTCGCCTTAGCGCCGCGCATATTCGATTTAAACATTTGCCAGAATCTCGCGGATGGAAAGTGGCGCCATTTCGAAATGTGGCTATCGCCTTCGCGCCGCGTGCATTCGTTGTAAGAGCTTGCCAAAGCTTCACGGTTAAAGGGCGGTTCCATTTCAAAACGTGGCTTTCGCCATAGCGCCGCGCACACTCGTCTTCAGAATTTGCATAGGTATCAATGTATGTTTGGGTTGCCGACACCCAAATATGGTGTTCTGGCACGATGTAGGACTGTCAAAGGGCAATAATCACGTGGTTCGCTGTGTTGAAGTCCCAGGAACGGTGTTCTGGCATCGCGATCGTCAGGGCGCAACAGTAACGTTGGATTCGCGGCGATGCAGTCCCAGGAATGGGTCCTCCTCCTCGTCGTCCTCCTCCTCCTCATCGTCATCATCCTCCCTACCGCGCGGACGAAGGCGATGTCGAGATCACGACCCTCCCCAGTTCAGACCACTCGCTGAAGAGCCGCGGGGTGTGAACTCGACATCCTGCCTACCACGCGTACGAAGACGAGGTCGAGTTCACGACCCGTCCTTATCAGACCACTCGTCGGAATTGCGCTGACTCTGCAACTTAGCCTCCTTCTTGTTGCGCTGTTGCATAGGCGCGGTGGCGGGGCTTGCCGCAGGCAGCGGGATCTTAGGGCCCAAAACAAAGCGGCGCAACACTCACCTGTCGGGGAGCCGGTCCTTGTCCAGGTCCACCGTATGTATATACACGAGAACCTTGCAACTACACAAAAGGAGCGATCGCTTGCCATGCCAGGACCTTGGTGCGGGCCTCGCTTTCGAAGGGAAATTGACGTAGTAACCAGGTGGGAACTCTGGACTCTGGAGTTCTTGCACCAGTTGCTTCCAGATTCGGTAAAGGACCACTGCCATTCCACAATCTCATGAGCAGAACGCGCAACCATCAGGGCAGCAGCATAGTGCCAGATAGCTCGAACGCCCGGTACGGCAACGACGAGCTCAGCCAGCTCTCATCTCAGCAGCGCAGGTAGCGACACGACAGCAGCGTGGCGCTCCGACCGTGGGACACTCCACGGACATGAGGGGGAACCATAGTAGGGGACTGGCTCGGGCGGCAACATCGACCTGGAATCGGCGACACGTCGCCAATAGATCGGTAATAGGCCTCCGATAGCAAGCCCGACAGTTCATGGGCGGGCTGGGCCCTCGGGCCCCTTATCGGCGATCCAGGGAGATTGGGGGGTCGCTGCACCACCCCCTGGAGGCCATCCCTCCCCCCTCCCCGATCGGGGGCGTCCAAGAGGGGGACGTCCAAGAGGTGGGGCACAAATCATGGCCAGCGGCATGTGCGCGGCCAAGGGGGGGGGGCCATGGGACGTAGTGAAATAAGAAGAGGCGCCTTGAGATCTGGGGAGATATCCCGGCCTAGAGACCCCCCCCTAGTTATCACCCCCCGCTTGGTCGCCCCTCCACAACCCTGCCCCTGAGGCCACCCGGGGCACGAGGCACAAGATGCCGCGAGGCACGGGCACAGGGCCCGCGGTCCGAGACTCCGCCAGGATGGCTGCGAGGCCGCGGGGGAGGCCACCGACGGGCAACCGAGCCCGCTCCCGAAAACTCTGCCCACGGGAGGCACGAGAGGGCCACGTCGTCGAGCGGTGGCATGAGCAGAAAGCCGCGCTGCCAAGACTCCCCCAGGGCGTCAAGACGACGCGACACATTGTTTTTCCGTTTGTTTGGCCTCCGGGGAGCCCCGCTGGGCCCGGGGACCGTAACAAAACGACTCAGGATGAAAAGCCGGTCCTCAGGAAGGGGTCCAGACGTCTGGGGGGTCCACGTTATGACAAACATGGACCCGGCGCGACCCCAACCAAGGGAACGCTTCCTATTGCATGAGCGCAGTGCTTGGCATTGCTTGGCACTGCTTGGCATTGCGGAGAACCCGGGGAACCCGAGGAATCTCCGGGGAACGGGCAAAGTCGGGGAACCCGGGGAGCCCGAGGAAGATCCGGGGAACGGGCAAAGTGAGCCCCCGAGGCACCAACCTTTCACCAAGTAAGAGCCCCTTAGGCAAGCCTCATTTGGGGGACAACAACGTCCCGGGTTTAATCACAATGCTCGCAGAGAAGCAGAGGAGGGCAGCGCAGAGAATAGATCACATCAGAATCGCCTGGTCAGAATCGCCTGCTCATGTAATTTCACAGGAGGGGGGGGGGAGACGAGAGGCACGAGAGGGCAACGAGAGGCTACGGGGGCTCAAAGCTGAGACTGCGCCGAGAGGCCACGGGGGTCCACTGGCCGCAGACAGGCGAGGCGCCGAGGGGCCGCGCGGCGGGGGGGTCCGAGGGCGCGCGAGGTGGTGTGCCAAGAGCGGCCGAGCGCAATCGTCGAAGGTCCAACCCACGGGGGGGGAGCTCTCTTCCGCGCGGCCATCTTGCGCGCGGCCCAAGTGCACGCCCGCAGCGGGACCGTGGGCGCGCTGCCGCTGGCCAGCCCGGGAGTCACACCATCACGCCGTCGGTCTTCGGCGACCCCTTGCACGAGGGCTTCCGCGACATGCGCCTACCGAACAACGACAGCGACTCCTGCCTCGCGACGGCGCCCGCGCTGTTGGCGGTGCCCTCGACGAGGTCGTTGAGCTCGTGTCGGAAGCTGTACACCCAGTCGCGCAACTTGGCCTCCCCGGAGCCAGAAGCGAGAAACGGCATGGCCTCGGGGTCCAGCCATGCCATGATCGAGACCCTGTCCGGCTCCTCGGGAGCAATCTTCGCGAAGGCCTCGTACTGATCTATGTTCAGCGAGTCGCCAGACTGCCCGAGCTTCCTGCCCAGCCCGAGGCGGCCGCCAGAGCTCTTGCTGGAGCTTCTCGGAAGGGCCTTGGACCCATCCTCCGCAAAGAATTCGGGCCCGATCTGCATCTGGAACTCGTTGCGCGTGTACCGCGAGTTGATGCCGTAGTTCGCTGACACTTTCTCCTCGAAGTTCACCACCCGTGTTGCCTGGCCGATCAGGGTCTCCTCCAGGCGGTTCAACTCTTGAGCCTCCAGGTGACCAAACTGCCGCTTGATCAAACGCCTGATGGCATCGTGCGGTAACTCTTGGCTGCGCACCTTCGTGCCGGGAAGCTTGCAGCCCATCGACAGCTTGCCATCATGCATCTCACCAATCTCCGCAAGGATGCGACCATCTTCACGCATGAGACGCACGACGCACAGTGAGACCGAGCGCAGCACACGCCCCTCCTCGTTCAGCATGATGTCACACTTCCCATTGCTCACCTCCTGATCCAACTCTTTGAGGTCGCGCCTGGGCTGCATGCCCAGAATGCCCCACGGCTGCTGCTTCTTGTCCAGTGCCCGCAGAGCGGCCTGCGACAGAGCGACGCGGGACTTCAGCGGCATCGAGGTGATGATGCTCTCGTGGTCTACGGCCATGTGCAAGTCGCTGAGCATCCCATGCTCGCGCTCTGTGGCGACGATGATCGCCTCCGCGTAGTGCCGGTAAATCCTAAGCAGCTCTTTCCTGCCGCTAATCACCCTCATCAGGCCGCTGGGGGCCACCGTCACCACGTCGCAGACGGTGACGCTCTCCATCCAGCCGCAGTACTCCCAGTCCGTGTGCAGGGCCATCTCGCAAACCCACTTGCCGGGCACCACCTCCTACCAGCTACACGCAAGAACGACCCCGGGCACTAGTGACACGTGGTGCGCAGTTTTGGGGGGGCGCGGGGGAGCCAAACCCAAGCACGCAGGCCGCTGCTATCGCATCGCGCTCGTCGACCAGGGCATCTCAGTGGGCACCACAGGTCACTCCAGCGAAGGGTCATCACTCTCACGTATCGCCGACTCCTGAGTGTGGGATTGCACTCGGGTGTTGCCGGTGTTGCGAGAAGCGTTAGAGGCCTCGGCGGCCGCCAATCCGGTCGTGTATTCAAGGGAGCCCCAATTAATGAAGTAGGCCCACTCTGCTTTCTCGCCAGGCTCGAAGACCTGGCAGCCAGGGTTGTATCGCGTCGATTCCAGAGCGTGCTCGTTGAAACATAAATCCTTGATGATCGAGGAGTCGACCGCATTCACGGCGCGGATGAACGCGTTGCGGGAGAGGCCAGGACCGTAGACGCTATCCGCCTCCGCTCTTGCGCGCTCTGGTGCCTGTTGGTTGTCTGATAGGGCGTCTGTAGGGTTTCAGGGCGACTCCCTCCCTAGCTCGTGGCTCTCCACATTTTCATTGCAGACTGGGCTTGTTCTCGGCCGACTGGGGTCTTTCCCAGCGCGCCGCCAGGAAAAGAATCCTTTGTGCTCCCTTTGCCATCGAGCGGTTTGATCAAGCTTGAAGGAAACGTTTTGGAAAGGAGGAGTCTTCAAGCGACGATGTTCCACACTCCCAGCTTAACCTCACGGGCTTCAAACTCTGGCTCCAGAGTTGGACGCCGGGAAAGAGTCCAGCGGTGGTTTTCCTTCTGGGAAGCCTCTGTGAAGCCTCAGAAAAAGGCTCTGAGAAGCTCGTGAGAAGCCTCAGAGAAGCCCCTGAGCAAGGCCTCTAAGAGGGTCTCGTTCGGACTAAGCCAGCGTAGCTACAGCTTACGCAGACTGGCGGCCAATTGTAAGCGGTCCGTCTACAAGTCGTCGTGGATCCAAGGTATACCCATATAGCCGCCCGTGGATTTCTCGACGCAGAGATCCCCAGATATGCATCCCAGTTCCTGGCACGTCCCGCTGTGAGCGTCTGGCTGGGACGGTCTGGGTGTGAGAGCGGGTCCGAGTGGACGACGAATACGACGACGACGACGGCGACGACGACGAATACGACGAATACGACGACGCCGACGCCGACGCCGACGCCGACGACGAAAACTGCGACGAGGAGGAGGACGACGACGACGACGACGGCGACGACGACGACAACGACGACGACGAAGCGGCGGCGGCGGCTACGATGAGGAACAGGGACGACGTCAACTCACAGAGAGACAGGCAGTGAGCAGCCCCTCTCCCCTCTCCTTCCTCTTCCTCCTCGTCATGCCCCCTTCCTTCTCTCCCTCCGCCTTCCCTTTCCTCTACTCCTCCTCCTCCTCCTCCTCCTCCTCCTCCTCCTCCTCCTCCTCCCTCCTCCTCCTCCTCCTCCTTCATCCTCCGTCATCCATTATCCGTCCTGGCGGTCGCCCTTCTCCCTACGTCGACGTAATCATGGGACTCTCAGGAGCCTCTCAGGAGCCTTGCAGGATGCTCTCGGGAGCCTCTCAGAAGCCTCGCAGGAGCCTAGCCTCTCAGAACAAAAATCAGGACCTTCTCAAAAGCCTCCCACAAACCTCGCAGGAGCCGATCCAAAGCTTCTCCAAAGCCTCGCAGATGCCTGCCAAAAGCCTCGCAGGGAGCTTCCCAGGAGCATCCCCAGAAGACTCACACAAGCTTCCCAGAAGCCTCTCAGGAACCTCTCGACAGCCTCAGAGGAGCACCGCAAAAGCCTCCCAGCAGCCGCTCAAAAGCCTCGCAAGAACTTGTCGGAAGCCTCGCAGGGAGCCTCTCCAAAGAATCGCAGAGAGCCTAAAGCATCGCAGGAAGCATCTCAGGAAGCCTGTCCGGAGCCTCCCAGGAATCCTCTCAAGAGTCTCTCAGGAACCCTCACAAGACCATTTCAGGAGCCTGCCAGGAAGCCGTACAGCATCGCGCCGCACGAAAGCCTCTCAGCTCCTCGCCTATATAATCCACACGCAGCTCTGAGCCGGCTCCCAAGACCCGCCTGGACGTCCCCAATATAGTCTAACCAAACTAAGGAGCCCAGGGGGACACAAACAAATCTAGACAAATTCCCCGATTCCACCGACTTTTCAATATTACCTAGATGTCGTTCTTCCCCCACATGTCCTATGTTTTCGCATATTTGAATCAACAATTGTCGATGTGTCTTTGTGCAGATGTCCCCCTCGTGATGTAAAACAATCGTGCTCAAGACGGCTCTGAGACCCCCGACAGGCCCCACGACCGGCCCCCTAGAAGCCCCCAAGAGGCTTTAATGAGCCCACAAGAAGGGAAGAACAAGGAGGCGAACAGACGGGGCCCTGGATAACACGGGTAGTCTTAAAATGCTACCTCCTTTCTGCTGCGCTGGCGCGGTGGTGGGGCTTGCCGCAGGCAGCCGGATGCCAGAGCTCCGCCCTCAGCGCAGGAGACAGGTAGGACAGGACCGTGACGTCCGCCTCGCTAACACGGCTCACGTGCGCCATCCGTTCCAAAATCTGCTTCTCGACGGGAATGGCCACGGGAGCCTCCACTTCGTGCTGGTGAAGGTACTGCTGGAGTGTCCTGATCTTGTCCGCGCGCTCCTTGTTGGACATGTGGAAGTCCATCACGGTCGCAGTAATGGAGGAAATGAGAATACTGACGAAGAGGAGCCCGAACAGGATGAACACACAAGTGCAAACCACCTCAGAAGTCTCTGTCACATCCATTATACTCCCGCCAGCGACAATCACGCTGACTGACCAATACAAGCTGAGCGCGTAGTCGAACGTCCCGCTCGCATCCTCCTTCTCCGCATCAGCGTACCACTTGTCAATTGCATCTTCCCCAACCAAGCGCCAGAAGCACGCACCGAGGTGCGTGATCCAAAACATCAACAGGATCATCTGGATGACCGTGGCTGCTGTCGAAAACTGGCGACCGACCCCGCGCTGCCGCGTCTCGTTCACAATGCGACCGTATAAATTACCCACCCTCCCGCTACGCACCATCAAGCACATCCGAATGAGGCGGCTGATCTTGCAAAAACTGGCCACCTTCTCCAGCTGGTAGCTGAACCCCGTATCGTTGGAGAACTGGCGGCGGGCCGCCGCCGCAATGACGATGTAATCGGCCACTACCGCGATGACGTTGAAGAAGAATATGCGCTTCAGATAATGCCGTGCGATCTGCCACAGACCCATCTCGACCCTGTCCTTGCGGTAATAGCCGGTGAAGAAGCCGAGGACCAGGTCGACGGTCCACCAGACCACCGTGAGGAACGTCCAGACGGCCAAGACCCCAGTGTACTCGACCTGCCAGACCATCTGGTAGGGCACCGCCCAGCAGTCGTACAGCGTCATGACGCAGAACACCAGATCCAGCACCAGGCGCGGCCTTAGGGGAAAAAAGAACTACATAAACACCAAATTCTCGAAGGCCTACGCGGATTCATAGGATCTGCGCTAGACTCGTTTCCCTGGCGCGCGGAGCCCGCCAGGGGCGGCGCAGGAGGCGCCACCTAGAGAGGACCAGCGCCGATCCCCAACAAAAATCAACGCGGAGCTCCGAAAATGTAAATATATTAGTTTCTCTTCCTCGAGTCCTATGGTCAGGGTGCATCGGGCGCAGCCCCGAGCGAGGCAAGAACGTGTAGCTGGCCGTCTTCGTCGACGCCCTCCGAACATTCACGCGGCTCAGCGTGTCCCTGTCCTGGAGCTCCCTGCGCTGCCTCAGCACGATGCTGTGGGACGCTGGGGACGGCCACGCGGAGCGCGCCTGATTCGACGACGCCGCTGGGCTCAGGCCGAGGGCCCCGCCCGCCTCCGTGCAGGGCGACCCCTCTGGGCTGGCGCTCCCCGGCGTCTCTCTCAGGCAGCTCTTCTTGCGCCCGACCGGCGCCTCGCGGCCGCTGGCCGCCTGGCGGCTCCACGCGGCGTCAGAGATCGAGTGCGATGAGAAAGCGACGTGGGCAGCTGGAGAGCACGCCTCCGTGGGCGTTTCCGCACCCGCTCCAGGCGGGCGCTTGGCCAGGCCCTGCGCCGAATTCAACGGAGTGGCCGGCGAGCCGACGTTCTCCCTCGGGAGCCTCGGCACTAGCGGAGGCGCCGACGAGCACAAATTGCTACTCGTCCCCTGCGCTGTGGCGTGCGAGCTCATTTGGCTACTCGCCCTGCGCATGGTTTGGGGGTTTTCATCATTCACCTCCCAGGTAGCATGGGATGCGAAGCCTCTCTCGTCGTCAGGCTTGTGGCGCAGCTCGCCAAAGCTCTCGCGCTCATTGTCGCTGAGCTCCCGGGGCGAGGCCACCACTGCAGCGGTGGAGGAAATGCTCTGAGTCCTGAGTTGCTGCTGCAGCACACCCAGAGCCCTCTCCAAGCGCTCCTTAGACCAACAAGCAAATGCATCAACGGAAACTGTCGGCAGAGGTCAGGGCGGGTTTCTTGGATCGGCGCGGGACCCTCCTCCCGGAGGGCCTCCCTAGCGCGCGGAGCGCGCCAGGGGCGGCGCGGGAGGCGCCGCCTGGGGGGGCCCAAAGCAGATCCGAGAAATCCGCGCGGACCTCCGAAGGTTCAGGCTTATGCAGTTGTTTGCCATTCGACTCCTGGCCGCAAATCACATCCTCCAGCTGCCGTGGCAGGCGTTGCAGCCGCTCCACCTGCTGCGACAGCTGGCTGAGGCGCTCGAGGACCTCGCCCCCTCGAGCCCTCGGGCTGGCAACCGCACCGTCCAGGTGCAGAGGCGAGAGCCGGTCGATCGGCAGCGCAAGCTGGCTGCCACGCTGCGCCAGCGACGGTGACGACGCCGCCGCCGCGTCGTCATCCTGCAGGTCCAGTGGCAGCAGCTGCATCCTCGTGCTGCGGCCGGCGGCGCCGTGCGGCAAACGGTAGGCCGGCGGGCGCCGCATCGCAGTGGCAACTGCCGCGTAGGCGGCCATCCGGCCGGGGCGGCTCCTTGTGGCGAGCCCCTGGCGTCGGTGGGGAGCCCCGCAGCGCAACAGAAACGCTGGAGCCCGGTCGAGCTTGAGCTGAAGGCGACGGGAAAACCAGAACAACCCCACTTGCCGTGCAGGAAAAGGTCCTGATGGAAACGGGTCTTCTGGCCCCCAGGAGCTTTCACCTGGGATCAGCTCTTCAGACTGAGTCGTTTTTGTTCCGTGCGGTCCCGGGGCAAGGGAGCCGATGTATTATCACCCTCTCGTCCTCTTCGTCGTTCTCGCCTCCGTCCTTCCTCTCTCATCGCCTCCCTTCCGTTCGGTTGCACGCGTGCGAAATTTGATATCCATGCGAGTGCCTGACGAGGTTATCGTGCTGACACGCCCGGTTGGACGCATGGCTCGAGTGTGTGTGTGTGTGTGTGTGTGGGTGGGTGGGGGGGGCACCCGAAAGAAACCAAACTGATACCGATACCGCTATTCCCTGGACCTCTCCTGGGGTGCGTTCTGACCTGAATTTCTCGAGGCGAATCCAGCGGTGGCGACGAGGGCTTCCAAGGAGCCCCAACAATACGAAAACGAGGTAAGGCTAGCGGTCTCGACATCTTTTTCAGCCTGGGAACTGCCACCAAACGCCGAGAACGTCGAAAAAATGACTCAGGGCCCGGTTCCCACGGAATCCCACTTCCGCATGCCCACCAACACCCGCGGGCCACGATGTGGTATGAGCCGCTAGTCGCCGGCCACGTGGACAGATCTCGAGGATAAGAAGAAAGAGGGCGACGGGGAGAAGGTGGGGGACATTCCCTGACATCCTCTCGTTGGGGAAAAACATAAACGATTTTTCCAGGAAGGGGCTTCGACCCAGGGTTCTCTTTCAGTTCCCCAATCAGAGCTTGCCTCTGTAGGGGTCCTAGCGGATTCATTCCCCAATCAGAGCTTGCTTCTGTAGGGGTCCAAGCGGATTCATATGGTTAGGTTAGTGTCGCGGCCGATTTCGATGGCCGGGCCGGGTGCCTGGGTGCCCGTCCCTGCCGATTTCGGTGCCCGGGTGCCCGGTGGCTCCCTGAGGTGCCCGGGGATGCCCGGGTACCCTATAGCCCTGGCCCTATAACCCATATATACCTATTCAGGGTTAGCTCTATAGCCCTATAGCCCAACAGCCCATATAGCTCTATAGCCCAATAGCCCTATACCCCTATAGCCCTGCAGCCATACAGCCCTATAGCCTTATAGTCCTACTTCGAAGGGCGGGCCGTTTTTTAAATGGATCACCGCTTTAGGAATGGATACTATCTTGTTTAAGCTGTTTCTTCAAGCAGATCACATCCAGGAAATATCATTGGATATATCTTAGATCGCAACTAGGTTTTATCCTAGTTCCCGATCCTGGTGAACCTACTCCCCAACTTGGCCGAGGACAGTTTTTGAAGCGAGAATGCGGCTGCTAACTCGAAAAATGCGGCCCGTTCTGAGGCGAGAGCGCAACTCCGAGCAAAAGGAAATCGGCCCGACTTGAGGCGAGAGCAAGACCGCGACCTCGGGAGGCGATGTCATGCCGCTAGGCCTGGGTGTTCCTCTTCCTTGGTTCTCCAGCATTTCTGTAACCTCCAACCGGGGAACGGGTGGTGCCCAACAAGGTGCGACGGCGACGTCTGTGACAGTGTCGGGGGGCGGCGTGTGACAGTGACGGCTGGGGCGCGGGACCTGTCTGTGACAGCCTCTCTCGGGGGGGGTCAGGTCGGCGACCCAACATTTGAAGTGGACCCGGGAGAGTTCGTCAGTTTCCAGAAAACATGACCGATTTTTATATCATTTATAGTTGGTTTCGGTCCCTAAGCATCCCATAAAATCATGTTCCGCTCCCTTCTCCACCCAACCCTCCCTCTTTCCCTCCGTCGCTACCTTTCCCTGCTCCCTTTTTGCCTTGTCCGTTCACCCCCTGCCTCCATAAATCACTCTCTCCCGCATCCGACGGGCCGCCCGACCCTCATCCCCCTCCTCGATGCGTCACGCACGCCCATTTCGGCACACTCCTCACACGTTTCGTGGCCCCGTAGGGAGCCCCACCGCGCGCGCGCGTCACGCGCGCCCGTTTCGGCGCGCATATCACACGGCGAGCTCCGCCGTAGGCCACAGTGCCGCCGCCCGCATGCGCCACGCACGCTCATTTCGACACACCCCTCACACGTTTCGTGGCCGCACAGGGAGCTCCTTTCCCCATCCCATCCCCTAGCCGTTTTGGCTCCCAGCTCAGCCGCGCGGCGGCATTCGATGGACATGCTCGCCGACATCGTCGGCGGCGCCGCCGCCGACGCCGCCCCTCCGGGCGCGGCGGCCCGCGGCCGCCGCGCTGGCTGGGCGGGCACCGCTTCGGCGGGCCTGGCCGGCTTTCGCATGCGCGACGCCAAGGCGAGGAGGATGATGAGGAGGACGAGGACGAGGAGAAGGAGGACGACGAGGAGGAGGATGAGGACGAGGCGGGGGAGGAGGACTGAGGAGGAGGAGCCAAGGCCAAGAAAGCGCTGCAGGCTCGCGAGGCGGCCGAGGCGGCGGCCATCGCTGCCGTGGGGCGAGGCCCCCCCCCCCCCTCGCCCCCTGCTCCTCCTCGTCCTCGTCCTCGTCCTCGTCCTCGTCCTCCTCCTCCTCCTCCTCCTCCTCCTCCTCCTCCTCCTCTTCCTCCCCCCCCCTCCGCATCACCATCATCATCCTCCTCCGCATAATCATCATGATCACCATCATCATCAACATCATCATCAGCAGAAGCATCGCCGTCATGATGATCATCATCATCATCATCAGCATCATCATCAACACCATCATCATCATCATCATCAGCAGCATCGTCACCACCATCACCATCATCATCACCATCACCATCACCATCACCATCACCATCACCATCATTCTCATCATCATCCTCATCATCATCATCATCATCATCGTCATCGTCATCGTCATCATCATCATCATCATCATCATCATCATCATCGCCATCATCGTCATCACCATGTCGTCATCATCCTCACCCTCCTCATCCTCATATTTTTCCTCCCTCTCCTCCTTGTCCCCCCTTTCCTCCCCCTCCTCCTCCTCCTCCTCCTTCTCCCCCATCCCCCCCTCCTCCTCCGACTCCTTCTCCTTCTGCCCGTCCTGCTCCTGGTGCTGGTCCTCCTTCTCATCCATCTCCGCCCCCATGGCTGTCTGCTGCGGCCAAACCACTTTCCTCCGCCACCGCACCGCCCCCCCCTCCCTCCACCCCACCCCCCGCCCGCCTTCACCCGCCCCCCCCCCCCCGCCCGCTATTTTGCCGCGCCGCAGGCGGCAGAGTCGCGCTCGGCAAGGACGCGCGCACGGGCCACTTGAAGGTCGTCCGCGGCGGCCGCGGGAAGGGCTACCGCCTGCCCGCAGCGGAGCGGTGCGATGGCGGCGGAATGAGCGGAGGAGGACGAGGAGGAGGAGGAGGCGGAGGAGGGGGAGGAGGGGGATCAGACGATGAATAGGACAGACGGACTGGGAGAGGATATGGAGGAGAGGAGGCGGCGTCGGGGGGGGGGGGGAGTGGGGAACGAACACGAGATGATGTGGAGACGGAGTGATGGCGGAGCGAGGCGGGAAGGTGGATGGAGATGCGGAGGAGATGATGTGGTGTGGGATCGCGCCCGCCCGGCCTGAGTCCCAGGTGTGAGATGGCCTTCGCGCCAGAGTGCAAGCTGCGCCCCCTCTCGCGCCACTTCGCCCAGAGTTGCTCCGCGGTGAGGCGCAACCAGCTCGCAGTGGCATCGGCCTCGGCTGCCTCGGTCCTGGCCGCGTCTGAGATCGATGGGTCCAGGTGCGACTCCAGGATGAGGATGGGGAACGGAGATGGGGGCCGATGATGATGATAATGATGATGATGATGATGATGATGAGGATGAGTGAGGATGAGGATGATGATGATGATGACGATGATGATGCTGACGTTGATGATGATGATGGTGATGATGATGCTGATGATCATGCTGATGATGATGGTCATGATGATGATGACGATGACGATGGTGATGCTGATGCGGATGATGGTGATGATGATGTTGATGATGATGCGGGGAGTGATGAGGAGAAGGAGGAGGAGGACGAGGAGGGGGAGGACGAGGAGGAGGAGGGGAGGCGGAGGAGGAGGCCCCCCCCCGGCCCGAGCTCAGGCCAACGTCATGCACACCCAGCAGGCCCGGTATCTGAAGACGATCGCCTACATGTGCGAACAGAGGCGCGCGGGGCACCGTTAATGGGGGCCGCCGGGCGGCCGCGAGGAGGAGGGGGGGGGGCGGCGGGGGGGGGAGGGGGGGGGGGGGGGGGGGGGGGCGGAGACGGATGAGGGGCTGGATGATGTGAAGCCTGTGAAGCCGCACATCAGCTGGCGTCCCAGGGGCGGTGGGCGGACGGCGACTGACGAGGGCGAGGGATAGGAGATGGGGTGGAGGATCGATGCGCGCCCCCCCCCCCGCGCCTTCCACCCCCCCTCCCCCCCTCCCTCGTCGATGCCCCCCCAGGCCCCCGCTGGCCGTCGCCGCGACCTGGAAGTGGGACGAGACAAGCGAGATCACCTCACTGCCAGTCGGCCCACAGGGCGAACAGGCAACTCGCTGTACAACCCTGCTCATTTACATCCCCATCTTACCCTTCCCTGCCTCCCCATCCGTCTTCTCCTCCTCCTCGCCCCCCCCGTCCTCCCCCCCCCGCCCTCCATCTCTTTCTCCTCTCCCCCCCCGCCCTTCCTGGCCACCATCGCACTCCTGCCTTTCTCAGCCTGAGCCTCTCGCCCGACCCCCCCGCCCAAGGTGAAAGACACGTACAGCGTCATGGTGTCGAGCCACCGCCTGGTCGTGTTTTGGCCGGTGCGGCGGGTTGACGCGCCCCGCCCCACCCCGCTCTGCCCATTCGTGCACATGGTAGGTCGGCAATGCCAACTCAGGAGCACCCTTGTGTCCTGTGTTTCGCGGCCCACGCCTTCTGCACTCCTG